TTCTTATCAGTTGATCTTGTGTTGGTTGTCGATGTATCACTGTTGTCTTTTTATCTTCCTTATCACAATGCAAGCTCCCTGAGAGTTAGAACATTGTCTGGAATTTTCCCTGCTGCTTGGCCACTGCCTGGAACATAACAGGTGTTTAAAATATCAATTCTAAGTAAGAAATTCAGTGAAAGGATGCCTCATAATATTGCTTGCTCTATTATTTATCACTCTAATATGAATGTCTATCCCATATTAAACAAATGATTGTCCCCCAGCAATGGAACAACTTTTCAGCTTCTTAAAATTAGTGGGATTCTAGTAAGAGAATAAGTACTCAAATTCCTCTCAGATTAATACATCAATCTAGTGGCAAGTTAGTATTTCGAAATTAATTTTTATTTAGCAATTGTATTACTTACATAATATATCTGTGAAATGGGGACATTTTAGAGCTTCTGGGTGATTACAGGCAACTAAAAGATAATGAATTTTTCTAGAATCACTGTCTTACACCTCTCAGCAAGTATCTTAGAACTACTTTCATCAAGATTTTCACATGCGATAAAGGAAATCAGAGTCAAAAAGAAATAATGACAATTCAAAGATTCTGATGAAATAATGACCGACACATTTAGGGTCCAGGTCTCCCAATTCTTACTTCCTGCCCTCAATGAGTAGCGCAGACCCTGAGGAGCCCAGCAATTCCCATTTGGAGGCTTCTAATCTTTCTCTGGACGCCTCCTGGCCACACCAGGAATCCATGGTAACACTGGAAAGACAAAAGCTTGAAGGAGTTTGCCAGTCAGTTACATCTTAGCTTGAAGCATTTGTTTCCTTTGTATTCAATCCAAGCACCCTTCTCAGTCAATTGCCACAGCCACCTTCAACGTTTGTTTAAGAATCTTCTCCCACATTTCCCCTGACAGCCCTTATAGAGGCTGTAATCCGATGTCCTCATCCTTGAAGACATGGAGGCCGATTTCCGAAGAAGCTGGCTGGGTTGCCTAGGGTACTTTCCACTCTGTCATCACTCGGTGAATGACCTTCCTCCCCACCACTGCCACGGTTCACTAATTCAAAGGCCTCCATTCAAAGAAAACTTGCAAAGGATTCTCCAGAACAGAGACAAAAAGGAAGTCTTCTTAGCCAACTATTTTCTCAGGCACGCTAAAGAAAATAATGATGTCAGCTCATTTAAATTCGGGAATGTGGAGTCTTTTTTTGAGTCCCGCGGGGTTCTACACCCCACCATAGGACATGGCAGGAAGCCAGCAATGTGCTTTCCCTCCATCATCAACTACGGAGCGGAGACCACCGTGCCACTGGAAAAGCCAGCCTCCGCTGTCAACGTCCTCAAGGGTGGACCGCTGAGCTCCTAGCCGAGCACCAGGGAGCGAATAGGTAAAGCGAGCAAAGCTAAGCCTTTGACGACCTCTCAGCTGTTTACCCGATTCCTCCAAACTAAACCTGCCAAGCAGGTGTGGCGCCCCAACTTGCTGTTCTCTTTCAAAACCACATACTTTTGTAATGTCTTCTGCTTGGAAAACTCACGACTGCTTCTCTGCCTGCTGAAGTCCTACCCTTTTCTCAGGGTGTAACAGCAGCAGCAACAACGATAATGAAAACAATAACAACAAACGCTTATATAGTGCTTAGTATGCTCCAGGCATTATTCTGAAATGCTCCAGGCATTATTCTGAAAACTACATGTATGTATGTACATATACATGCATATATATGTATACTGTATATGCCAATACTTACCATCCTTTTCTATGTATTTTAATATACATATAAATTTAATATAAACATGTGAGTAGATCAATCATGGAATTTGCATATTTAATATAAAAAGCAGTGGCACAGTACTCGGTGGTGTAGCAGTTGCACATTGGGTTTCCAATCACAAGGACAGCAATGCGACCCTCCAGCCTTCTCAGGAGGAAGCTGGGGCTTTCTACTCCCACAAGTTCCAAACTCAGACCCCAGCGTGCGCAGTTCGCCCTGTGCTGCAGGCTTGCTATGAGTTGGAATCAATTCAGTGACAGTGGGTAAGAGTGATATTTATGAGAGTAGAAAGCCTCATCTAGCTCCCAGGGAGCGGCTGGTGGTGTTGAATGGCTGACCTTGCGTTTAGCAGCCCAGCGCGTAGCCCTCTACCCACCGTGGCTTGCAAGAGTGGTATTTAATGTATAATAAAATAACTATATAAATATAAGGGGGCTTCAAAAAGTTTATGGGAAATTCCATTATCTTTTCATTCTGTTTTCCACAAACTTTTTTAAGTTCCTTCATATATAAACATTTAAGTAATGCTACACTTTCTATTTTATATAATAAATTTGACATATTATTTAATTGTATATTGTTCTGTTATTTAAATAAATAATTACATTTATGTAATTGGTTAAATTAAGTAATATACAGTATTAAAATATATACCTTTTATCACACATTATAATTCTGATGTCATTGTTGTTAGCTGCATCAAGGCGGTTCTAAATCACAAAGGAAACACGGACTGGTCCCATACCGCCTCGCAATTGTTGCTAGGTGTGAGACAATTGTTGGAGTCACTGTGTCAATCTTCTCTTTGAGGGTCTTCCCATTGTCCCCTGACCTCCTACATTCCCAAACATGATGTCCTTCTCGAGATGTTGGTTCCTCCTAATGACATGTCCAACGTGCATGAGGCAAAATCGCGCCATCCCCACTTCTAAAGTACGTTCTGGCTGGGCTTCTTCCAAAACAGATTTGTTGTTCTCTGCCAATCCATGGTGTAGTTAATAGTATTTGCTAACACGATAATTCAAAGGCATCAGTTCTTCACAGATTTGAGGTGGTTGACCATGCCATGGCTGGAGTAGGCTCACATTCACCCAGAGAGTGTTAAAAACCTTTGTTTTTAACACTGTAAAGAGATCTTTTGCAGCAGATTTTCCTAATGTGATACGTTGTTCTTTTGTTTGATCGCTGTTTCCATGGGCCTTGATTGTGGATTTATTCCTATTGATAAGATTTTCACATGCCACTTATTTCTAAAGCAGTCCCTTCTTTTAAGTCTATATTAATCTTGAAGCTCTGCTGTTAATTTTTGACCTTGGGTCACCTTTTTGGCATTTGAAATCCTGGTGGCACCATTTCCAACATCATGGTAACATGCAAGCCACCACAGTACAACAAAGTGACAAATGGATGCTATACTATAATATGTACATATTAAAAAATTAACTAATTTAATAGAAGGACTTTTCTATATGATATGATCTCCATTTTACAGAGGAGTGAACTGAGGCACAGAGTAATTATGCAATTTCCCTGAAGTAAAACAAATGCTAAGGGGCAGAGCAGGATTTAAATACAAACTGTCTGAATTCAAATGGGAAGGTTTACAGTGCCATGTTCACTTTTTAACCTGTTCAAATGCATCTACCCAAATAGAGCCATGAAAAGTATCCAAATTCCTTACCCATCAGACCTACACATGGGTCTGAGTGATTATAAAAGAAAGAAAAGTAAAATTTGTACTGATCTGAATACTTTTGTGAGACACAGCTAGTTTCAAACAAACACAGACATGATTCCTGAAGCCGAGGAAGAAATGAGCAGGATGTTCGAGCCCAGCCCTCCAGAGCGGCTCTGATCGCGCCATCTGTTCAAGAAGCACTCTGGGGGCATCCGTCCATTGTAAGAAGAGGTCTACCATCCATGCATTACAGATAAACGAGGTATTCACTCTGTAACTCAGTAGTGCAGCTTTTCTGGCTATAGGGTTTTAGTTATAGGAACAAGATTTAAAAAATGGACAGTATATGTGATTTAGTCCAGAGAATATGCAGATGAGTGTCATGGGAATATAAAGAAGGAGCAGCATTTGAGATGGTCAAAGTGAGGAAACACTATATGGAGGTGAGAATTAAGGAAGAGGCACATTTTTCCTAAGTTATGAATTCAAAAGTTTATCTCTACTGTGTGCAGAAATACAGAGCTTTACAAAACCAAAAAATATGTGTAATAGCTAGCTCTCTGGACAATGACCCACTCACTGCTTACATTTCTCACGGTGAATTACTTAAAATCTTATAAATTTCATGCAATGAATTTGTTCTTTAAAACAAATTTCCTAGAGTTTTATTGTTGCAAAATAGCCTAGCAAAATTTCAGACATGTAGGGAAGTCAGGAAATGAAACCTAGAATTACGAAGATGATGGTAACTTAGGGCAATTCCGGCCAACCCTTCACCGTTTCAACCCTCATGTGCTCAGGGTTGTTTAAACCAAAGCTATTCCTCCACAGAAGCTTCACTGATGAATAACTTATAATTTTGGGATACTGCGGATTTCTCAGCAGGTTTCATTGACCTCTCTTCCTCTCTTTCCCACTCTCTCTCTCTGCTTTTTGATTTTTCATCTCCCTTTATCCTCCCAAATGTTCTGCAATAAGTCTCCCACTGAGATCCACGTCTCCGTTGTATCTACACCTTGCAACAGATTTCGTGTCAACCTGAGTGTGTATTAAAGGGTAGGGGTGGAGTCTAACCTGTCAATTTGGTCACAGCCTGATGATGCCTCCTTGAAGGTGTGACCTCTTCTAGAAGCAATGAGAACTTCAACTCCCTCTCTCTTGCCCTCAGATCATGGATGTAATTAAGTTGGTCTGGGCTGGATGTCTTCTTAATATTAAGTTACTTCTTTATCTAAGGTTCCATTATATAAAGCTCCTTCATATAGATATGAATTTCACTGGTTATTTTTTCTAGACAGCCCAGCCTAACACATATATCAAACAGAGTTTATAAATTTCAGATTTTTTAAAATGAGATTAAGAAATGAAGGAAAGATAAAATTTTCTCTGCAAAATCAAAAATTCTCTTTAAAAACAAGCAAATTCATAAATACAATCACCACCCAGCAGCAAAAACTATTTTCTAAGAGGCAAACCCAAATTCTAAGAAAAGACAGATTTCTTTATGGAATAAGTTTGAAAAAACAGTTCATTTGTTCCTTACTTGGTTGAAAATAAAAGGAACCTCCTTCTTCTCACCCACTTTCATCAAAGATACAGGAAATGTGGCCGTCCCCAGGGTCTCATCCATGACATAATTGGCATCCATTAATGTGATCTGTACATAGTAACGGATAGATAGAAGACAAAAATAAAAATCCCCGTGAATACCTTAAAATTTTACTAAAGTCTCTGTCACACTTAAAGAAAAAAAATTTCCCAAATAATATTCAACTGTCCTTTCACATCTTTGATTGTTCCATAGGCAACAGTCCTCATATACCCGACTTCTCTTTCTTAGTACTTATTCGTTGCTAAAATGACAATGATCTTTTTTCAATTTCCTGACTGAACGATCTTTGTTTCAAAAATGTAGTTTCATCCCCTTTCAGAGGGAATGTTATTTTTGGAAGATGGGGGACATTTAAATGTAAAAAAAAAAATCAGCACATTTATTTTGAAAAAAAAAATTGATGTTAACTTGTTAAAAGACAATGGACAATTGTTTAATTTTGTTTAAGTACTTTCTCCTTTTTACAACAGAAAACATATCTTCTCCAAAGCTTGTGGAAAGCACAGCAGACTGCCCCAAGCTCTACCTGAAGCCTGCATTTCACTGATAGACGCCATCTACAAGCTAACCTGCCTTGCTGCCCACTGGCTTCCAATTACACTTGGTTAGAGGAGTGCTGTAAGGGAGCAACATCCAGCCTCTCTCTCAACGTGGATTTCAACTATCAAACAGTCCCCAAATGATTCACTTACCTCCAAAACGTTTTCTTGATTAGGATCCAAAATGAATTCGAAAGCCTCGTTCCACACAGGGTTGACGTCGTTATTGAAGTGTCTTGTTCGCCTCCTGCCGTCCGGCGTGGTAGAGATGAAAAGCTCGACATAGGGGTCTGGAGTGTCCACTGCGGAAAGGAAAACCATCTGAGCAGAAGGCAGACACGGATCCAGAGCTGGCTCCTTTGAATCAAATATCATCAGGTATTTTCACAGAATCCTCCGTAATGTACTAGCAGGCTTCCAAGAAATTTGAGGGAAAATCTCCTTATCTTTTAACTCCATTTGCATATGAGATTTTTGAAGTTCCCTTCATAGTAAAAATATCTAGTAGATGATATAACATATAATACAAGCACACTGGAGGCTGTATAACTATATATTTATTATGCATGCTGCAAGAGGCAATCGCTTATTAGATGATTTATTCAGAACTCCCCATTCACCCACAGGGCATATATAATGCCTTAAACAGTCTAATCTAATATCTAGGCAATCATGCCGATCTCACCCAGACAACTACAGCATGGCCTTTACCCCAGGCGGGCAATCTTGACCACAGCTTGTATTCAAGGTCCTGATGTTTATCTAGATTGGAAAGTGTATCTTTGTTATTTTATTTCCTAACTAAAGTAGTAAAGTTCCTATGACATTGTTGTTATAGGATGTCCTTGTATGACTGCACAGGTTGTGTGCTAAATAACCCTAACGATTGGCATTCACATTAGTAGCCAACATGTATTTCAATATTTGTTACATATTTTGATATTTTTTACAGAAAGAATTTACCATCAGATGGAAGTGAGGTGTGTCAAGAAAGCAAAAGCCTTTTCTATTTTATATAAACTTATGTATGTGTCATATTACAATGTATGTGCAGTGCTAAATAGCAGCAATAGCAAATAGAGGAAAGATTTACATTTCCTCCCACTATAAATGGACTTAACAACAAAATTACTAACTCAGAGCAGTTAAGTTGATCACTTTATTTTGTGGTCCCCATAAATCCTTTATCATCTTATAACATTGAACACACCATATTTTTTATGAAGTCTGTCTGTCTTCTCCTCTAGGACTGTGAACAACTTGAAATCAGTGATGAAGTCTCACTCATCCTTATATTTTCAGAACCACCAACAGAGCATGTTGTCAGGAAAGACCAGTCCCTGGAGAAGGACATCATACTTGGTCAAGTAAAGGGGCAGTGGAAAAGAGAGAGGCCCTCAAGGAGATGAATTGATTGACATAGTGGCTGCAGCAATGGGCTCAAGCATCAGAACAGTTGTGAGTTAGGATAACACAAGAATAAGCAATGTTTCTATATTCTGTTGCATATAAGGCTGCTATGATTCAGAACCAATCCAATGGCACTTGGCAACCACTGCAACAGAAAGCAACTAGTCCTACATTTGAGATCTTCTGACTTAAAAGCTCATAGGAACCCTGTCCTACAGGATAGAGCTGCACCAATGGGTTTTGGAGACTGTAACTCTTTATGAGAGTAGAAAACCTCATCTTTCTTCCACTAACCACTGGTGGCTTCAGACTGCTGACCTTGCAGTGGGTAGCCCGGTGTATAACCGCTATACCATCAAGGTTCCTCTAGGGCTGTGATAAGTCAGAATTAACACAACGGCAGTGATTTTGATTTTGAATTTGGAGCATAAGGACTCGGTTTTTCCCTTTAACACATTCTTTGTCATGAGTCCATTAAAATTAATAACCTCAGTATCTGACTGCCAGGACCTGTTTTAAACAATTTACACACATAAAACGCCATTGCCTTCAAGTTGATTCTGATTTGTAGTGACTTAAAAGACAGTGCAGAACAGTTTCCATAGGTTTTCCCAAACTATAAACTTTAAGGAAGAAATCTGCCTTACCTTCCTCCCATAGAGCACCTAGTGGGTTCAAAACACTAACCTTTCGCTTAGCAAGGTAGTATTTTAACCACTGTGCCACTAGATCTCCTTTTATATACATTAGCCCAGTTAAATCTAACAGCAGTTCAATGAGGCAAATATTTTTTATGTTGGTGTACCAGGCCACAAACCGAAACTCAGAGATGTTAAGCAGTCCATTCCACATCACATCCATGCATCAGAGCACAAACTAAATTCCAAGATGTCCGACCACAACAATTATATATATTTTTAACCCCCCAAAATCATTGCATTGGGAGTTAAGGCAGATATAATATCATTCCATAGTACAATTGCTACCACAATCAGTTTCAAAACATTCTTTTTTTCTTAAACTCCTTGATATCAGCTCCCCTTTCCCCCCCGCTCCCCCACTGCACCCCCCAGGACCCTTATTCTTCTTGCTGTCTCTGTAGGTTCATTAGTCCTGGGTTTCATCTACCGAAAAACAGAAAACTATATAATAAAAATTCAAGAGGGCGACCACAAATGATAAACTACATCAGAAGTAAACCCCAAGATGAAGAAAAAGAGGAGACACACACACACCACAGAACATGTTGAAAACCATATAAGGCCCAGTGTGTGGGGGAGTGGTCAACTGACAAGATTTTAGCAATTACAGTCTGAAGGACATCATGCTGCTACGTAATAAAGATAAGACGATAAGATGTGCATTGCGATGCAAGGCGAGGCCGGACTGAGCGTTCTGGGAAGGAGCGAGAGGGAGACCACAGAAAGGGAGGGTAGGAGACTGAGCAAAGAGACCATGTGGTGCAGAGGCCAGCACAGAAAAAAAGATTTCTAAAATAAACACAAAGGAAAGTTTAAAAAAATAATAGTGTCTGAAATGATTGCTTTTCAACAAAAACTGTTTTTATGACACGGTGGTCAGCACATAATGGGATCGCTGTGTTTCCTTCATAGTTTTGCATAATTCTTCTTTGTGGTCAACATATTTTTTGTTAAGTGTGCTTTCTACTGTAAAACAGGAAGATCTATAAATAGATCTATAAATGAGGCATTGACATTTTCTGAACGTATGCATCTTTGGTCAAAAGCAGTAACGGTCTCAGAAGACAGGATACAACAGAAATGTCTAAGGTTCTTATTCAAAACACAGATCGCTGATCCTGTTTGGCCTAGATCCGTAACCAGTAGATCTATAGTTGAGTCAATTCTGACCCAGCTATCCCATAAGGGGTTTCCGAAGCTATACATTTCTATGGGAGTGAACATCCTCATCTTTCTCCCTTGGAGCAGAGAGTGGGTTTGATACAATCACCCAGAGGTTAGCAGTCCAATGCATACCAGCAACATCACCAGACCTTCTTATAGCAGCATGAGTGACCTTCATTTTTAAGCACACATTCCAGCCGATTATAATAACCAGCTGGGTCATTTGCTTACAATTCTCATATTTTGATTTTAGGGAAATAAAAGTTGATATTATCACGTCTGACTCAATATCTGTATCTTTCAATGGGTGCATGGAAAACAAACTAGATGAAAAGAATGAGGAAGAAAGAATGATAAAGGGTAAAAGGAACTTAGCCAAGAAAGAAAGGGATGTGATAGGAGGTGAGTGTCAACATCTTCAACCAGCCGGTGACGGCTCCTTTTCATTAACCACATCCCTGCCACAACACCAGGGCTCAGAGCTGCAAATCAGAAGTAAACTTCATGTTTACGGTGCCAGGTGGTAGCGCCTAATAAAGAAAAATATGCCTTCCTCTTCTGAGTCAAAGTAGCATTTGATTTTAAGGGGCAAAGTCTATAGAAACATCACATTAAATATATTTTAAAAGAAAGAAAGTTGTCCATCATTTAAACCATACAGCCAGTTATTTCTTATATGGCTAATTCATATGTTTATGCTTGCGGTCTTAGATATGTGCTTCACAAACACACACACACACACACACACACACCAATGTAGAAAACAAAGTGTGTGGAAAGAGGAGGCATGCAGATGGTAAACACCATTCATTCACTTCACAAATATGTCAGTCAGTACTTTTGCCAGGAGTGACCCATCAAGAGGAAGTTGGGCTTTGAAAACGAGCCAAGTCCTGAACTGCAGATTTGAATTATGGAAGTGAGTCAAAGTTAATGGGCTCATTTGAGAAGCAAGAGTGATGGGAGACAAACACCTACTCTACGCCAGTGACGAGTATCTCCGTCACCCGATTATTACACAGGACTCAGAAGGTCAGCTTGTAGGTGGGGAAATCGCTCTTTGAGGCTTGATCTGTATTTGAATCTTTGAAGAAGAGGAATCTTCCTGAGCCAAACAAGAAAGCAGAAAGTAAAGCTCCCTGGGAGGAAAAGAAAACAAGTTGGAGTGACATGACGTGGTCAGAGATCTCTCTGTCTTCTCAATGTTTTAGGTTCTCAACGGGCTAACAAATCCCATCCCTGACAAAATAGGGAATCATACGAATGAGTGAACAATACCAATTTTATACTTCCAAATAGTGACAGCAGTTTTTGTATTGGGATGCAGTTCAAAAGCTACCACTTTCTATTCTCATTATTCATTGTCATTTTAAGGGAGTCACCATCTTAAAATAACTGGCTAGAAATGTCTCTAGTTTATGCCTTTGTGTCTTTAGTAATACCAAAATTAAGATTTCAAAAGGTTCTGCTCAGTGGGAAAACCCCAATTAATGAAAATTTTGATATTGCAATTTGCACCATTGCTAATCTCTCCAGTTAAGAAATATCTGTAGCACTGGTGGGGTCGAGATGATTAAAAAAAAGTCTTAAGATAGTGCTTTAAAATTGAATTCTGATCCTCATTTGACTTAGCTCACTTTTTATTTACATCAACATAACCTCACTGGCACCAGGCAGACAGATTGAAAACTTTTTAAAAGAAAGAAATCAATTTATTTTGACAGAAAAAATTTAGCCTAATGTTTTGGAGAAGTTCCTAGATGTGCACTAAGAATAAAAAAATAGAGAGAGACAAATATCCTCCAGAAATTTCACAATAAAAAGTTCTTCAATAATTTAAATATTGGTGACATGTAGTTAATTACTTAATATTGTCCTGCTAGCTATAATCCCTTCTGTGATGTTTGATAATTTAAGCCTCTAAGGTGACCAGATTTTAACATTAGTAAAGCGGGACACCATTGATAAAACTCATATCCTGATGAAATAGCCACATGGCAGCCGAAAACCGTATAACCTAGCTTGTC